ACATGGATGGACAGGTGGCTTTGCTTTGCATATTAAAAATTAATTATAGCATTTTTGGTTCGTTCTGTTCAGATACAGTCAAATTCCGCTTTAGATGTCAGCAGTCTTCTGGCCTGCATGTGCAGATTTTATTACTTGTAATTCATAACAGTATATGAAGCAGAAATAGAAGCAGCATCCCTAGTTACATTGGTAACTTTGCAATGAATGTATTCCTGACATATCACATGCAATGTATTTCAATGTCTGCCTGAAAGGAAGAATCTGGGAGAATAATGCCATCAGTTTGCTGCAGAATGTAGTAAGCATTTTCTCTGTCTCCTTTCCTCCTGTGACAAAGGCTGGGACAAGGAACAAGACTAGGACAAGGGGTGAGCAGGAGGGAAGGCTGCCCTAGACCAGGGGCGGACTGACAACTCATGGGGCCCCCGGGCAATAGGGGATCATGGGGCCCCTGTGTCCTTGCCCAAACTCAAAAAAGCCTATGAAAAAGATACCAGGGGCATCTCATGGGGCCCCCTACTGACCCCGGGCCTTCGGGCAGTGCCCGAGTTTCCAAATGGTCAGTCCGCCCCTGCCCTAGACACAATGGTTTTCTATAGAGATAAGAGTGCCTTCCTTCTGTTACAAAGCTGACAGTGTCAGTGATTTTGACAAGCGAGGAACTGTTGGGCTTAGCTTACACATCATAAACGGTGTGGGGGGGGGGGGGACAGTTTGGAATCTTCGCCCTGGGTGCTGGATGATCTTGTCATGTACTGGGTGCTGAATGACCTGCAGGGTCTGAGATGGTAACTTTCTGGCATGTCGCAAGATAAGGGACAGTTGCAAGGGAAAAATTGCATGACACAGCTTTTCTACACACAGAAAAATAAAGACTACTATGAACTACTAATGAAAAACAGAAATTTTTTTCGAAGAAAAAGCTGTTATAATTAACTACAGTGCATTACCTGACATCTCCCACTCCCTCCAATACATCATGGTGAATAACATTCCAATTTTGCAGGGCAAGGTACGGAAGGGATCCAGTGAATTATAAAAACTGAGATGTATTTCTGTCTCAGACTGTGGCAAGCTGAGAAGGAACAGCAGTAAATTATAAAACTTCTTCATATGGGTCATGGCAGCTCTAGACCTGATGATAATGTACAGTTTGAAATATAGTAACTAATAATCCTTTGAAATGAAATAAGCAGAAAAATATCACAGAAAGAGCATATAAATCTCAAAATGAATATAGAATAGAATACACATGAAACTAATCTATAACCGCAGAACCCCCAAAGTACTAGATCTAGGGTTTTACCTACATGCACCTTAAATAGGTGACTAATGGATATCAAATTATATATAAAAAGATATATAGAATAGAATACACATGAATGTGCAAAATCATATATGACGGTGAAACCCCCAAAATATATCTAAGGTGTAACTTAATTACACCTTAAATCGGTGATTTATAAGTAACAATCCTTAAAAAGTGCCAAATAAGTGATAAAATAAAATCCCACCACTACTGTGCTAAATTGCACAAATGACTAGTGATGTAGAAAATATACCTACAGGTATATTCCATGCCAAACTGGTAATTGCCAAGAAAACTACCCAAAAAAAACACTTATAGTGCTCATAAGTGAAGAAAAAAATTGAAAAAGTGGTTAATCGTGAAAAAACACAAAGCTAGTTAAACAAAACATAATCGAAAACGCAACATCCAAATTCTGCAGATTAATGACTAATAAAAGAAAAAATGTGAACCATATAGCAGTGACCCCTAATTGGGGATAAAGTGAAAATTAGTGGCTAAGTGACACTAATAGAATCTTTGTATGTAGTGAAGCGTTTATAAGCCACACAGCCTATAAACATAAAGAACAGGAAAGACAAAAAAACTGCTTAACGTGACCACAAATGCGGGGATAGAAATTGAAAATATGTGATATCTACGTGATTCCGTGACGCAAAAAAAACAAAAATCATATAAAATTATATCCAATTTGTAGAGTGAATCTCATCCAAAATAAAGTTAAAGTCCAAAACCACCTAAATGGTGGAGGTGTTTTGTAGTCCTTAGTGGATATACATATATGAACTGCTAGACATAGGGAATCCCGCACTGAATGAAATGCCCCCTCACCTCCATGAAGCGACCCCACAGGGCAAAGCGCTTTTTCAAATAGCACACCGTTCTGGAACCTGGACCCCTTCCTACAGGCACAAGGTCCAACGCAGAGTCAATCCCCCGCACTGGTGGAAAAAGGCACCTCAAACAGCCTCCTCAGTGATATCCGGGAAAAAACTAATCCTCCTTGCTGCAGTGCTGTTCCTGATTCCTTTCACATGTGTAGTTTGTCTGTGTTCACCTATGTACAGTTTGCTTCCTTCATAAAAATGACTGTAAATAATGCAAATAATGCAAATAATGCTTCTATGGGTTATTATTAACCTCTTAGGGCTCATGTACACTGCAGCTGATAAACTCACGTTTAGGAGCTGTTCAGCGTTTTTTTTTTTTTTTCAGCAGCCCCATGAACTCTTTCTAATGTTTTCCTATGTGTCCATGTACACATCTTCATTTACAGTCATTTACAGGCAGTTGAGTTTACAGTCGTTTTTTTTGAACGCACCAAACTTGCGTTCAGGAGTAGAGTTTATCAGCATTTCAAATACCAAATGCTTGTAAACGTGGCTAACTGCGTTTATAAGTGTTTGCGTTTGGAAATTGTTTTTAACTCTTTCATTTCCAGATGCTGTCCAGAACCTTTTTTCATCATGAAAAATGCATGCAAAGCGTTTTCCCGGTACTCAAATGGACCTGGTACACCATACTTTGAGGTTTCGCATGAAAGAAAATATGTTAGACACTGCTGCAATAATTTCTGCACAGAAATGAGCTGGAACACATCCAAACACCACAGAAAAAACAGCTAATCTCAACAAATACTGCTCTCTCTGCTTCTGCTCTATTTCTCTCAAAATGTCTGAAATAGTTAATTTTTTACTGTTTTTCAGTGCATTCTGGGCATTTTGGAAGGTCTCCTGAGGTTATCTTTAAAAACGCTTCTAAACGCAAAAGCTCATAAACACACATAAACGTGGTATGCAAACGCAGCTAAACAGATATTTTTTAACCTACTTTTTCCAGCAGTCAGTTTCCATCGTTCAGAAGTGTCCCATGTACATGGGGCCTTACAGGTGGTTATAATGTAGCACTGCTTAAAGGCTACATTCACAATTTTTTCCCTACATTTCAGCTGCCCAATGTACTAGGGATGCACCAATATCCTTTTTTTTTATCTGCGAGTATGAGTACCGATACTTTCGGTCAAGTACTCGCTGTTACTGAGAACCAATACTTTGCAATGCAATTTCCATCCATACAAAATGATTGGGCGCAAATCGCACTGCAAAGAATGGCATTCGATTTGAACAGGAATGCAATGCGATTTCTGTCTGATTTTCATGTGGTTTCCCCACTGCTCCTGTGTGAACCCAGGCTTGCCATAGTGATTTCAGCCTGGAGCTTACACAGGTAGCAGTGTGTATATATATATATATATATATATATATATATATATATATATATATATATATATATATATATATATATATATATATATATATATATATATATGTATGTATGTATGTGTGTACCTCGGTTTTTACAAATTTAATTTGTTCTTCGGGACTTTTTGTATTGTGAAAAATTTGTAAAATTAAATGCGGTTTCCCATAGGAATACATTGAAAACCAATTAATCCGTTCCGGGGATCAGAAAAAACTAAAAAAAAAAAGTATTTTATCTGTTCAAAACTCTTTATAAAGTGCACTTTAAAGGAATAAATACTGTACAGGGACATGATTACAAATTAATTCGTAAATGCATTGAAAACCAATTAATCCATTCCGGAGGTCAGAAAAAAGTAAAAAAGTTTTATCTGTTCAAAACTCTTTATAAAAGTGCACTTTAAAGGCATAAAGGGACATGATTAAATCAATTAATCCATTTCAGAGGTCAGAAAAAAGTAAAAAAAAAGTTTTATCTGTTCAAAACTCTTTATTAAGTGCACTTTAAAGGCATAAAGGACATGATTAAAAAAAAAAAATTATAAATGCATTGAAAACCAAGTAATCCATTCCAGAGGTCAGAAAAAAAAAAAAAAAAGTCTTATCTGTTCAATTCTCTTTATTAAGTGCACTTTAAAGGCATAGTACTGTACAGGGACATGATTAAAAAAATATTTGGAAATGCATTGAAAACCAATTAACCTGTTCATATTGCGAAATTCATTTGTAAACCGAGCCATTATTTTCAATGGAATTTCATTCATAAACTGCAAATTACATTAACCGAGGCGTTCGTAAACTGAGGTATGCCTGTGTATATATATATGTATACACAACATATTAATTTTGCAGAAAAGGAAAAGCTCTCTGTATGCCCTATGTTCTGTATATCCACCTCTGTACTCACAAACAATCAATGTCAATGTCAAGGAACATCATTATCTAAGTACACAGCCAGGGTTTTCCTGGTTTTGTACCTTCCGTTTTCTTGTGTTGACCGCTCCTTTGGCAGAGTTTGCAGGAGCTGAGCGATAACAGCTTATGTGGAGCAGAGCTGTAGTATTGAAAACAGGAGATGTGTGTCCCTGGAAGTCTGTAAAGCTCACCATACACTATGCAATCTGATTGTACAATCTCCTTTAGAGCTACCATCAACTATGTAATGCAAGGGCCTGCCTTATTGGATACAGAGTGATTGGATACATGGTGTGTCCTCCTATTATATAGTTTTGGTAAATCTAAAGGGGATTGAACAATAAGATTGCATAGTGTATGATCACCTTTGTACACCTAAAATGAACTAGTTGCACTTTTTAGTTGCAACAAACGTGCTGCAAGCGCACCAAAAAGCACAGTAAAATAAGTTCTATGGCTTCTTTGGGGTTTTTATCACACACGGGGCAGCCCAACCAAGTGACTAGGATGACCTATTAGTGAGGAGTAAAAATGCTTTAAAACGCCACCCCCCCCATAAAAAAAAAATGCATGCAGGAATGTGAGTTCCAGCTATGTGAAGATGTGAACGGGGCCTGACAGCTGAATGTCTCCATCCAATCCCTCCTATGTACTTGTATGAAGACGGAAATACATGATATAATCGATTAATTGTGCAATCTCTGTACAATTTCCTTTAGATTTACCAGACACCCCCTCTCCTCTCTCTGCCCTCTCTCTCCCCCCTATCTACTACATGAACCTGCAGTGCTGTCACCTGTGTTTGAGGATTACACACTGACCTGCTGCATACTCTGCCTGCCCCTCCAACTCTCCGACTTCAGCACCCCTGGCAGGGATGTAGACCCACCCCTCTGCTGAAACTCCGAGGAGGAGAGGTGTCCGAAGTGCCTCCCTCACTGTCCATCCCCTCAATGCTTGCTTATTTCAGCAGCGGCACATACAGGGATGGACTGAGCATCTCATGGGGCCCTGTAGTGACCCTGGGTCCTCGGTCAGTACGCCCCTGGTGGAGCGGGTCTGGTGTCACCCCATGCAAAAGAAAAAGGTGTACCCCCCGCATCTTCCTAGGCATGCCCCTGAGGAGGACCCACCTGAACAATCCATTCAATTTGTATCAAATCATGCAGGCACTACATAGCGGATGGTATATCTAAATGAGATTGTACAATTAGATTTTCCAGAAAGTGGGTGGAAATAAAACAAAAGGTGCTATAGTAATGAGGGAGGTACTCAGATGCCCATCTTCCTGACAGCAGTCCATAGTCTAACAATTGTCTCAGCAGACTGGGTGATGGATGCAACACTGAGATCTCTTAAATTGAGTTATGGTGGCTGCAGAATAGGTTGCTTTGTTTGTAAGCTGCTAATGTGTCCAGTCTCAGTCTTCCAACCTCTCTAGCACCTTCCAAAAGACCCATCCATCATCACCAGATAGGGAACAAGTATTACCTATGATCTGGCTGCAATACCCAGGCTGTGCAGCTCCCACTGTCGATAGAGGCCATTGGCCAGAACTACATCACATGTTACTGTAGCTTGTTGGCTTATTTACACTGAGATTTTTTTTCTTTAGAAATATTAGGTAAGCATACTTGGCAAAGGTAAAGTATCATTCGAACATACTTTGTGGCCTTGCACTCTGTGCTTTTTATTTGCATGCTATATTACAAAATAATAATACTTTTATAATAATGGCTGTTGTATATTTTTTTTTTGTCAAAATATATCTTAATTCCATTTTCAATCTAGAAAGCCATGCATCAATTCAATAAGGAATGGAAGCTTTCAGGTATACAACGGATCTTCTACAATAATCTTGTTGGAGAATTGGGAGGCTTTGGCTCGGAAGATGGAAAATTTATTTGGCCTACAAGTGTAACAAATACTTTAGATGGTGATCTGGCCATTAAAGATACAGGCAACCACCAAATCCAGATCTTCTCTCTAGAAGGACACCACAAGCAAACCTTTTCATATGGGTCTGAAAATACCAAATGTCTTGGAAATGTTGCATGCACAAACGAAGGTCTTCTTCTTGTATCAAATGGATCTAAGGGTATTAAAGTATTTACTAAGGAAGGGGAAATGATACATCTTTTGAAGTCATCTAAAGCAGATTGGAAGCATTCTTATGGGCTGGCTGTAATGCATTCCAACAGTATTGCAGTGACTGACTGGACAGATGGGGGAAAAGTACACATTGTTTGTGTGGACTGGAGAATGAACGCTGTGTTAAAGACAAATGTTGTTGATGGACTTCAAAGACCGGAATACATTGCAGTTACTAAGGTATGTAAAATAGGACTGAATACAACGTTACAAATAACTAATTGTAAAAGTAATATTGCTGCTATTATGGAGAGCAAAATGCAATGGAGCTGACTTCAAGGATCTGCCCAAGCTTTCACCTGGAATAGACCTTCAGCTGTAAAGTCACATTGATACGTTCAGCTTGGGGACAAATTACTCCCCAGGTCCAAACATAACTTTAATTTCTGAGTTCACTATTTGCATGAATTACAGACATAAAGATGGATGACCTTTAACAAGCCATATGTTTGGCACCCATACTCCACAGTCATATGTTGTTGACCCCAAAGGGTTCTCAAATGGCTAGCCAGATGTGGGAAGACTAGGGCAGCCATAACATGGGTTTAATTCACAACTGTGGTCTAATAAATGTTAAGGGGAGGAAGGGGTCAATTGAATGAGTGTATTTTACATCTAATCTAACCTATGTACACAGAAACATTTTTTGGACATTGTAAGTTTCTGTGATAATAATATTGATAACAAAAATGTGGTGCCTATTGGTGCTGAAACTTCATGACCCAATTTCCAAAAAAATGTTTGTGCTGCCTTACAAAAAACAAAATCTCCAATTTTCAGAAGTCAAAATTTATATTCTGTGTAACGCAATCTCCCCTGTATGTCACAACTAAGGCTAGTGATTTGTGGAGCTGTTAATCAGCAAATTGTGGATATGATAAAGCAGGAACAGACCTAAAACACACAAGGAAGCATTTCTATACACACTAATTTCCTGCCTTTAAAAGTATCAGAACAGCGCAGTATTCAGCCATAGCTGCAGGTTTTTAGACGGTCATGTCGGTATAAGCAGATTACCTAGGTCCTGTAAAACAATTCATATGCATGTATTTAGGTGTGTGTGCGGCTAGAAATCAGATTTTATTCACCTGTCACACTAATAAAGTTTAAAAATAGATTATTTTTTCTTGTACTAAAGATAAAACATGCTAAGTTCAGAGAGTTAAAGTGATACTAAAGGCTTTTTTGTTTCCTAAAACAAAAAAGAGGTTTATACTTACCTGCTCTGTGAAAAGATATTGCACAGAGCAGCCCCCTTACTTCCTCTTCTGGAGTCACCTGCCAGAGTTTTTCTGTTCCTCCTCTTCTGCATGTGACCCACATACAGAGCAGGGGTGCAGATGGGCACAGTGGGCACAGTGCTGGATTGAGAGAGGGCTCAGGTAAGTGTTTAGGGAAGTGGTGAGAAGAGGAACAGCTAGTGGAATAAAAAAAAAATAAGATTATTGTAGTAGTGAAGCTTACTGTTTTTGACCCTAATGCATTCACAGCATTAAGGTAAAAAAAACAGCTTGGTGCATGTGTCACCCTCTATCCTCCCCAAACACCCACGTGCTGTGTTGTCACCGCTGCTGATTCTGTGACTGATCTGCACTGTTCCCTGACAGAACAGTCCATGGACACACACAGCCCCATCCGGTAATGCATAGCAACAGGTGTCTCTTTATTACCCAACTAGGAAAAACAGACACCCACAAGCAAAAAAGGGGGCAAGCAGCTTTGAGACCCCCAGGGCAGTTTGAAAGTGAACAATTTCAAGATCAAAGATAGGTGATAATAGCCCCTCCCTGTTAGGTTGTAGGCTCCCAGGATCAGGCCCTCCTAACCCTCTTGTATTGAATTGTGTACTTACTGTATTGTCTCCTGTAATATTGTAAAGTGCTGTGCAAACTGTTGACACTATATAAATACTGAATAATGATATAATTAATAATTTATTTATTATGTAAGGGTTCAGAAAAAAACACCAAACAAAAAGATTGCGTTGCATTTAGAATGCATTTATTTCACATGCACAGGCTGTAAAGAACTACACCGCAGCTCAGAGATCTCTGATCACATGGCAAACCCTAACACAGTCTTCAGGGAAATCCAATGCCATTGTGGAACAGACTAGTCTTTCAGCATTTGATGTGTTGGGTAACATAATCTAACATGAGCTTTACTAGGTGCTGTCATACTAATATGTGGTTAGCACTTGGGATTTTCTGTTGTTGACTTTGCCAGCTTTGAGTTTCTAAACAAAACACTTGTCAAAACACGTTTTAATAACTTGTTTGTCTATGCAGCATTTTTGTGTAGCTGATAAATGTTCTTTTTTTAATACAATGCGCCGTTGGGAAGGGCTGCACAAGCTTTTCCAGGCAAGGTGTTTTAATGCCGTATATGGGTATGTTTTCTGATTACCACCAACTGTAAAAAGTACTGCACAGTCTTCTTCAGCTGAAAAAGTGTTTGGATTTAAAGACATTCGGATATTGTTTGTGATTAAAGCCCAGCTTCAATTAAAGTGGTTGTGAATCTCAGAAATTAAATACACTGCTCAGAAAAATTAAAGGAACAATTTTTAATCACAGTATAGCATCACGTCAATTAAACTCCTAGGATATTGATCTGGTCAGTTAAGTAGAAGAGGGGATTATTAATCAGTTTCATCTGCTTTGGTGTTAATGAAATTAACAACAGCATGGCATATCAGTACGTGCCATTGCCAGAAGGTTTGCTGTGTCTCAAGAGCATGGAGGAGATTCCAGGAGACAGGTAGTTACTCTAGGAGAGCTGGACAGGGCTATAGAAGGTCCTTAACCCATCAGCAGGACTGGTATCCGTTCCTCTGTGCAAAGAGGAACAGGATGAGCACTGCCAGAGCCCTACAAATGGACCTCCAGCAGGCCACTGGTGTTAATGTCTCTGACCAATCAGAAACAGACTTCATGAGGGTGGCCTGAGGGCCCGATGCTCTTTAGTGGGCCCTGTGCTCACTGCAAGGCACCATAGACCTTGATTGTCATTTGCCATTGAACACCAGAATTGGCAAGTCCGCCACTGGCTCCCTAGTGCTTTTCACAGATGAGAGCAGGTTTATAATAAGCACATGTGACATACGTGAAATGGTCTGGAGAAGCTGTGGAGAATGTTATGTTGCCTGCAACATCTTTCAGCAAGACAATTTTGGTGGTGGGTCAGTGATGGTCTGGGGAGGCATAGCCATAGAGGGATGCAAACTAGGCAATGGCACCCTGACTGCCATTAGGTATTGGGATGAAATCCTTGGACCCATTGTCAGACCCTACGCTGGTACAGTGTGTCCTGGATTCCTCCTGGTGCACGGCAATGCCCAGCCTCATGTGGCGAGAGTATGCAGGCAGTTCCTGGAGGATGAAGAAATCTATACCATTGATTGGCCCCCACGCTCCCCTGACCTAAATCCAATAGAACACCTCTGGGATATCATGTTTTGGTCCACCCGACGCCACCAGGTTGCACTTCAGACTGTCCAGAAGCTCAGTGATGCTCTGGTCCAGATCTGGGAGGAAATACCCCAGGACACCATCTGTCGTCTCATTAGAAGCATGCCCCAACATTGTCAGGCATGCATACAAGCACATGGGGGGCATACAAACTACTGAGTACCATTTTGAGTTGCTGCAATGAAATTTCAGCAAAATGGACAAGCCTGCTGCATCATTTTTTCAATTTGATTTTCAGGATGTCTTTGAATTCATTCCTCTGTAGGTGATAATTTTCATTTCCATCAAACTATGGGGTATCCCTAAGTTCCTAACACATTACCCAGTCCATATCAGTATAGATATCCAGTAGAGATGAGCGAATTTCTCAAAAATTCGATTCGGCTGATTCGGCGAATTCCAGTATGAAATTCGATTCGATGCGAATTAATTCGCTACGAAGTTAACTTATTAAAAGGGTTTCTAGGCTTCAGAGAGCCTTTAAATTAGTGCAGAACACTGTACCTTTAATTTAAATGCCCTTGGAGATGAGGAAGGAGAATGAGAAGGAGAAGGATGAGAAGAAGGAAGAATGAGAAGAGAAGGATGAGAAGAAGGAGAAGAGAAGGATGAGAAGAAGGAGAAGGAGAAGGATGAGAAGAAGGAGAAGGATGAGAAGAAGGAGAAGGATGAGAAGAAGGAGAAGGATGAGAAGAAGGAGAAGGAGAAGGAGAAGAAGGAGAAGGAGAAGGATGAGAAGAAGGAGAAGGATGAGAAGAAGGAGAAGGATGAGAAGAAGGAGAAGGAGAGGAAGGATGAGAAGAAGGAGAAGGATGAGAAGAAGGAGAAGGATGATGAGAAGAAGGAGAAGGATGAAGAAGGACAGTTCTGTGACAGTTTCTGTCTATTTCTGACAGTTCTGGGACATTCACTCCATACAGCGGTTTTCAACCGCTGTATGGAGGGAATGTCATAGAACTATCAGAAATAGACTATTTCTGACAGTTCTGGGACATTCCCTCCATACAGCGGTTGAAACATTGTATCTATTTGTTTCCATAAATGGAACCGCTGTATGGAGTGAATGTCCCAGAACTGTCATAAATAGTCTATTTCTGACAGTTCTGGGACATTCACTCCATATAGCGGTTTCAACCGCTGTATGGAGGGAATGTCATAGAACTGTCAGAAATAGACTATTTCTAACAGTTCTGGGACACTCACTCCATACAGCGGTTGAAACATTGTATCTATTTGTTTCCATAAATGGATCCATTTATGGAAACAAATAGATACAATGTTTCAACCGCTGTATGGAAGGAATGTCCCAGAACTGTCAGAAATAGTCTATTTCTGACAGTTCTGGGACATTCACTCCATACAGCGGTTTCTGGCAAAAAGTGTATGTGCAGAGTTCCCTCTATTCTGCAGATACACTTAGAGGAGCTCTGCAGATACACTTAGAGGAGCTCTGCACATACACTTTTTGCCGGCTTGGAATTATTCTTATTTTCATCCTACTTCTTCTTCTTCTTCTTCTTCATCCTCATCCTCATCCTCTTCTTCTTCTTCTTCTGAGGATGAGAGATGAGGATGAGAGAAGAAGAAGAAGAAGAAGTAGGATGAAAATAAGATTAATTCCAAGCCAGGCAAAAAGTGTATGTGCAGAGCTCCTCTAAGTGTATGTGCAGAGCTCCTCTAAGTGTATCTGCAGAATAGAGGAACTCTGCACATACACTTTTTGCCGGCTTGGAATTATTCTTATTTTCATCCTACTTCTTCTTCTTCTTCTTCTTCTTCTTCATCTTCATCCTCATCCTCTTCTTCTTCTTCTGAGGATGAGGATGATGAAAGAAGAAGAAGAAGTAGGATGAAAATAATATTAATTCCAAGCCGGCAGAGCTCGATGAGGATGAGGATGAAGAAGAAGAAGAAGAAGTAGGATGAAAATAATATTAATTCCAAGCCGGCAAAAAGTGTATGTGCAGAGCTCCTCTAAGTGTATCTGCAGAGCTCCTCTAAGTGTATCTGCAGAATAGAGGAACTCTGCACATACAATTTTTGCCGGCTTGGAATTATTCTTATTTTCATCCTACTTCTTCTTCCTTCATCCTCTTTCTTCTTCTTCTGAGGATGAGGATGAGGATGAAGAAGAAGAAGAAGTAGGATGAAAATAAGATTAATTCCAAGCCGGCAAAAAGTGTATGTGCAGAGCTCCTCTAAGTGTATGTGCAGAGCTCCTCTAAGTGTATCTGCAGAATAGAGGAACTCTGCACCGGCAAAAAGTGTATGTGCAGAGTTCCTCTATTTCTGACAGTTCTCTGACAGCTTCTTCACATGTACAGCGGTTGAAACATCTGTATCCTAAATGTAAACTAATAGATACAATGTTTCAACCGCTAAACATGTGTTCCTTCTGTCAGAGAACTGTCAGAAATAGCGGAGCTCACTGCAGGGACACTTTTGCCGGCTGATCGGGAAATATTCGATTCGCGCACCCAAAGTAGGCAAAATTTCGGATTCGACGCGAATATTTCCTGAAATTCGACTCGAATTCCGGTTCGTCTGGTTCGATTCGCTCATCTCTAATATCCAGCATGATATTTTTCCCTATTGAAATCTGATGTGTTTTCAAAGTGTTCTTTTAATTTTCTTGAGCAGTGTATAAACAAAGCATATCCCTCTATAGTGTATACTTGTCTCAATCCAGAGCTTGTAATTTCTGTCTGCTTCTCTGTTCCTCCGCTATCTGCATGAGTCACTTCTGAGAAGTTTTTCTGGTATCAAGGGAAAAAAGATGACGGGAGAGATCTCCAGCACACAGTCTGTGATTGAAAGCCTCAGGGTCTGTTCTTGTGTGCTGTGTGAAAGGGGGGTCCCTTCCCTCTAATCAGCATTCAGAGCTCTCCTCACTGAGCTCTGCAGAGTGTAATTGTGGCTCTTCGCCCACTTTTTTTCTGAAATCTCAGGCAAGCTTTATAAATTCTGGATTTCGAACAGATGTAAAGAAGAGAACACTGCAAATAAGCAGGTACAACTTATGTAGGATGATTTGTTTAATCTCTGTGTATCACCTACAGGATATATGGGGAAAATAAAAATGCTCAATTTTAAGAGAGCTAATTTTCGAAGGCTGAGAGCTGCTCTCCGAGACTTAGACTGGGAGGGAATATTGGCATCGATGAACACAACACAGAAATGGGAGCTCTTCAAAAAGACAGTATGTGAACACACTGCAAAATATATTCCCATGGGCAACAAGTTTAAAAGGCTAAAAATCAAACCTATGTGTCTTACGACCAAAGTTAAAAAAGCTACAAATAATAACAATAGAGCTTTTTGTAAGTATAAAAATGAAGGAACGCTATCATTTAAACATTACAAAGAATATAACAGAATATGCAAAATGGAAATAAAGGCCGCAAAAATTGAAAATGAATGACAGATTGCAAAAGATAATAGGACAAACACCCCAAAATTCTTCAAATATATTAATAGTAAAAAGGTCTGGTCCAAGCATGTAGGCCCTTTACAAAATAATCTAGAGTGGGTGACTGGGGACAAAGAGAAGGCAAATTTATTAAATACCTTCTTCAGCTCTGTGTATACAAAGGAGCATGGGGGAGCTCTTGTCCATAATGGGCATGGTATTGACACAGCTCCAGATGATCCACATTGGCTCACTTGATATGATCAAGAAATATTTTTACAGAATAAAGGAGAATAAAGCACCTGGACCAGATGGCATACACCCATGGGTCCTTAAAGAATTGAGCTCTGTCATTTCAAAGCCATTGTTTCTAATTTTTAGGGACTCTTTAATGACTGGCATAGTACCACTGGATTGGTGTAAGGCCAATGTGGTGCCTATATTTAAAAAGTAGTCAAACTCTTTACCAAGTAATTATAGATCTGTTAGTTTAACTTCTTTAGTTGGGAAGATACTGGAGAGTTTAATAAAAGTATTTTAAGCCACAGACAGCATGGATGCATGAAAGACAGAAGTTGTCAAACAAATCTGATTTCTTTTTATGAGGAGATGAATAAAACCTTGGAAAGAGGGGTGGCGGTGGACGTGGTATACTTGGAATTGGATACCCCAAGGTTCAGTGTTGGGACCCTTAAATTTTAATACATATATATAATTGATATAGGGTCTGGGATTAAGAACCCCATTTCAGTCTTTGCAGATGACACCAAGCTTTGCAGTGGAAAAACATCCTTACAGGATGTCTCCAACTTACAAGCCGACCTCAATGCACTGTTTAATTGGGCAACTATGTGGCAAATGAGGTTTCATGTTGATAAATGTAAGGATATGCACTTCGGGGCTAAGAATATGCATGTATCATACATACTAGGGGGGGTACAACTGGGGAAATCAATGGCGGAGGAGGATCTGGGAGTTTTGGTAGATCACAAGCTTAATAATGGCATGCAATGCCAAGCTGCGGTTTTTCTAAAGCAAGCAAAATCCTCTCTTGTATTAAAAGAGGTATAGACTCCAGAGAGAGAGATATCATTTTACCCCTGTACAAATCATTAGCAATACCTCATCTGGAATATGCAGCTCAATTTTGGGCACCAATTCACAAAAATAACATTGGGGAACTGGAGAAAGTACAGAGAAGGGAAACCAAACTGATAAGAGGCATGGAGGAGATCAGCTATGAGGAAAGATTAGAGGAACTGAATTTATTCTCTCTTGAGAAGAGGAGATTAAGGGGGGATATGATCAACACGTATAAATACATCAGTGATCCATATAGTGAACTTGGTGTAGAGTTATTCACCCTGAGGTCATCACAGAGGACAAGGGGGCACTCTTTCCATCTGGAAAAAAGACATTTATTTTCCAAATACAGAAAGGTTTCTTCACAGTAAGAGCTGTGAAAACGTGGAATAGACTCCCCCAAGAGTTGGTTCTGGCCAACTCAGTGGATTGCTTTAAAAAGGGCCTGGATTCTTTCTTGGGTGCTAATGTTTATAGGTAAAGTTGATCCAGGAATTTTCAAATTGCTTCTCGGGAGCAAATTGGAATATGCTTTGCTGTTTTTTTTGCCTTCCTCTGGATCAACTGTGGGTATAGGATTATAACTTTTTCTTTTGGTTGATCTGGATGGACTTTTGCCTTTTTTTTAGCCAGACTAACTATGTAACCGGAGGCCAGTCACTTCACAGAGTATATGTGAGAGTTTACAATCACTTTAACAAATTCACATTTAATTGCCCAAGTGTTCCCCACAGACTCCCCATTCTGTGATCCTCTATTAGTCCTCTCTTCCCATTTGAATGATGTCCAGCACCATTTGACACACTTTTTGTCACCCAAGGGTGTCAACAACCCACCCCATGGGGGTGTGCCATCAAGCTGCCCTGGACTCACAGGAGAATGCTTGATAACGGTCCCATGTCATTATGTGCCACTGTTCTTTGCAATATTAGCAGATTGATCCCCCCTGCCAGAGGAAGAGAATCTGTGATGTCACATGAGCAGAGCTCAGATTCATGAAAAAGAGGCATGTATTTTGTGGGACTAAAAGGTCAGTGGTTTATAAAAGATGGAATTGGACCTTAAAGCCCATGTCACAAAATGTCAATTCTGTCACTTGCAACAATTCACTAGTGACATGATTGCTAACAGTCCATATACCTGTTGTTGTGTAGGCAATCCCTGGCTAGCCAGACAAAGTAGATATCAGTATTTGAGCAATTTAATGAGCTAGCAAGACAGCAATTCCACTAATGTAAGTATATGACTCTTCTCTGGGATTCTGCTGCTGGCAATGTTTTGCTAGCTGCAGAACTGCCTCATGACATTGGCCTAAGGCTTACAAAAATGGGCAATATTGAAGTGCTTTTACAGATTCAGCTTTGTGTCAGCTAAAGCCTACAATAATGTAATGGTTTAGCACATGCATAACCACCTTCAGTCTTCACTGTGGTCAATGCAGACTGTACTATACTGTACATGCAGTGTGGGTTAATTTCATATTTTTATTCAGGGCATAGAAATAGTTTATTCCTGCTTTAGGGCAACCACAAATAGTGCCGGGATGGCATATAGGAAGGTTGGGAAAGATCTCAACCTTTGCATCAACCATCAACAGAGCCACACTGCTGCATCAAGGCACATTTTTGCAAATATAGGCAACCAAAACCTCTGTTTTTAACTTGAGGCTTAGCTGTTGAAAGAGTTAAGTTAGGTCTTTAGATACCTAGTTGGAAAGTGTGCTGGGGAACGTTTTTAATACCTCTGTATATTGCTAAGTCCATGAGCACCTTTATTTTTTTTTTTAATTGGTCTGAATGGTTGCCAATGATGCAGTGTTAGATACATTACTAGGAGACACAGAAGGAATTAAAGGACCAGTGGATTGAACCATTGAGCACAGAACAAGCCAACAGCAAATAATGTCAGATTGATATCTGAGCTCATGATTTCCATACTTGGTCTAGGTGAGTGACTCCAAAAATACTAACACCATTTGACTGGCATGACAGCAAGGTAAGAATCCAAAGAACAGAGGTATACCGCTCAGGCAAACAATCCAGATCAATCCACAACAGGTGCAGGCTCTGGCTCGCCACCACACACGATGCAACAAGAAGAAGGGTCAGCTGCACATATAATATATATTAGCAGTTTGCCTGGAGTTTAGGTTCAAAGTGATTCTAAAAGTTTTTTTCTAAAATATAACAAACACATCATACCTACCTGTTCTGTGGTATAGTTTTGCACAGAGCAGCCCCGACCCTCTTAAAGCCACTTGATATGGGGGCACTGGTGCGTGCTCGCTCCTGAGCCCTGAGCCCTGCTTTATGCATTCATAAAACACATAGACCCATTGGTTTGCCCTTGCTCTCTCCTCACTGACTCACTGGCTGTGATTGACAGCAGTGGGAGCCAATGGCTCTTGTTGCTGTGTCTCAGCCAATGAGGAGAAAGAGACCTGGGACAGCTAAGACTCCTGTGTACATCGCTGGATCAAGCGTGGGCTCAGGCAAGAATTGGGGTTGCTGTGGTGAAAGCAGCATACAGAAGGTTTTTTACCTTCATGCAGAGAATGCATGACCGTAAAAAACTTCAGCCTTTACAAACACTTTAAGGTAAACACCTTGAAATTAAAATAGAAATTCCTTTACTTTTTCAGTAAATAACTTCACTATGCTTTTTACCAGATAACTGAAGCATCATGAAAAACAGGAGACATCACGGAATAAAATGTGATACTTTGTATGTGCAGTAACACGAATTGTACAAGTTTTAGGTCACTTTGTATTTTGTTTATTTGTTTCTTTTTGAGTGTATACAGTAAGCTTCCATCCTTCTTCCCAGCTTTCTTTGTCACACTGAGTTCTCAATGAATTCTCACTCTGAGTTAGGTGAAAAGGAGTACTAAACATGATAGAGAAAACATGCACAAAATCATTATATATTCTTTTTAAAACTTTTATTGGTAAAACTGAAAAAAACCCACAATTTTCTATTTTGTTTTTTTGCCTTCAAAATAAATAGAAAAATAAACAATTCTCAGAAGACAATACTACCAAAAAAAAGACTTGTTTGTACCTAGATATTTTATTTATTATTATTATACCGGATTTATATAGTGGCAACAGTTTGCACAATACTTTACAAAATGAAGGAAGACATTACAGTTACAATACAATTTGGTACAAAAGGAATCAGAGGGCCCTGCTCGTTAGAACTTACAATCTAAGAGGAAGGGTCAAGTGATACAAAGGGTAATAGCTGCGAGGGATGAGCTGATGGAGAAAGTAAAAAAACACAGTGCATTATTTAGAAGCAGTATATGCTTCCTCAACCACTTCCCGTCTGGCCCATGTATATAAATGGCAGGAAGGGAACGGTGCAGGAGCAGGTGGCCGTTTATAAACGGCATCCACCGGACACAGTGGAACACCAATCGCTGTACGGGACCTCTGTGTGAGGTCCCGATCATGTGATCACTAATTGGCTAATCAGTGATCACATGAATAACAGTAAGCAAGATGTCACTTCCTGACATCATTGCTTACTACTAGTGAAATCTGTGAATGATCACAGAAGTCACATGGTACAAGGCTATTCACAACAGCCATGCACCATGTGACAAGCTGTGACCAATCACAGCTCTCACAGTATTTCTCAATGTCTGCAAGAATGCAACCATTGAGAAGGAGAAATTATTGCTTTTCCAGCCTTTATGGGTGTAAAAGCAATCAGTGTAAAAAAATCTTTGTCACCCCCCCCCCACAAGTAGTACAGTGTCACTATGGTGACACTGTACTGCTAGGGTGATGGTATGTTAAAAAAAACAAACATAAATATTAAAAAAAAAAACAAATAATAATATTACAAATAACAAAGGAGAGAGTGGGCATCCCTGTCTTGTACTGTTACCGTGAAAGGGACCCTTTAACATTTACAGATGCTGACGGGCCATTATAAAGTCCTTTTATCCAATTAGCATTTTGGGCCTTAATCCCACAGCCTCTAAAGTATCTATCATATATCCCCAGTCTACCTTGTTAAAACCTTTGACAGGTTAATCTCTCTTTAGACCATCTGACAGCATATATTACTATTCCTCATGCGTGCTTATTTTAGTAGTCTAAACTTCAAAGATATGGATGTTTACTGCTGCAGGTATACAGTGACAGTACATTAACCTTATTCATTAATGTTGTATCTTGCAGGATGAAGATCTACTAGTAACTGAGGGACAACTCTTTGGACAACACTCAGGTGGTTGCCTTAAAATTATAGATAATGATCGATCTATTAAAAAAACAATAGGACCCAAATATGGACACAATTTCAGTTTTGTAAACCCATCTGGAGTCTGCGTGGATGGAAATGGCAACTTTTTCATAGCAGATAGATGGAAGAACAGCATCACCATGTTCAATCCAAACTCATCTCTGATGGCTACAGTGGTGACACATGACCTAGAAGGTCCCAGTGGAATTACCATTGCAAACAAAGACCTTCTAGTTGTTACAGACTGTTACCATCATAGTGTAAAACTATACAAATATAAACAGGGAATACTACTTTAAAAGGAAAAGGAACATAACAAAGGTATGTTGCAAGCACCAGCATTATTCATGATTAATGTGTGCAGCACAAATTAAAATAAAAACCAAAAAGTCACCACAATGTAAACATGAACATTATACTAAAACCAAATGCGCAATGTGCAAAAATAATGTCTGTAACTACTTCTGATATGCATAAAATTGGCTTCTGCAACATTATCTCCATGTGTGTGTTTTTTAGCCTAGCTTGTTGTCAGTCAATGCTTCTATCCTGTGACATTTAAAAATTACCTTACCTCGCAAAAATCATCTTACAGTCCATCTCTGGGCAAAAAAGCCACCCATTTAGCATTTTTTTTTCAAATATCTTGTGTAGTAATTTTACTCACCTATGTCTGCCATCTGAACAGCCAATAAAACGTGTCCATGCCATGTAGGCATTAATGTACTTTTTATTACATGTAAGAAAGTTTCCTAGCGATAAAGAACATCAAACCGATAAGGGATACATTTCAATATACAAAAGTTAAAAAAGAAGCAATACGTTGCAGAGAAAACAACTTGAAGAAAAGAGGTATGAGACAATGAAAAGGAACTACAAACAATGCAGTATATCTAAATAGCACATTATAAAAGCAAATCCATGTAATGTATTGAGATGTACCGATGTCAATGAGAAATATCATCGCTAGTGTCATTTTGTGAATACAGTGATCTAAGAAAAAAAGATATTCAGTAGTCTGTATGGTCAGTTAGTTTGTTCATATTCAATATCCACAGTGTTCAAAAGAGCCATGGAATACTAATACAGAGGTAGCATCAAACAGCAGCATGAAGAAAATAAGAAACCTGAAGAAAAGAGTAAAACCACTTTCACATGAATATAAAATGCTGTATTTTGCAAGTTTAAACATCCAACGGGTGATTAAAATTAAATAATATTTCTGACATAGCTTGAAATAAGATGTTTGGAAAGTCACATTGCTGCCCCACAGCATAAGATGGACAGTAGCGCTAGCCACAGCTTCTCTGTCTTTGTCCAGCAAGTGTGTACAATGGACCAGAAGACCAATGCTCTCAAGTTGACTGCCAAGTAGTATTTAGTAATGTTTGGAAATGCGAAACAACTCTGATTATGAGAGTATAAGACCAACCTGGAAATGCTGTGATGATTATAGCTCCAAGCAAAGTTCAATAAATTGTTTTGTATTTTTGAAGTGTGAAGCAGGGGCAGGGGTTGGTAAAGTCTCAAAGAGATATAGCAGTTTCTGCAAAATAGTCATTTTAATAGTCACTATATGACCAAGGAAGCAGATGCTTTGGGATTTCCAATGGGAAAGTTTCTATTGTTCTAATATGATGACAAAGCATTCTCTTTAAAGACTGTTATCATAGGTTGTGTTTTTTTTCACTCATAATATAATATAAGTGCAGTAGTCTTCAAAGTATATAGAAGATTTTTGGGTAGAGGTTGAAATATCTTGGGAGGCATATCGAGATATAGGGCCTCTGTTTTGGAGCTGTCATAAAATACCATCAGCTGTCAATCACACCTAGAGAGCAGTCACCAGTGAGAGGGCTGTAGGACAAGCAGCCAGCATTATCTTGGAAAGAGCAGGCCTTCTGTACAATCAGGGTGCTCATAAACGGATTCAAATTTGGCCAATCCCTGCTGAACCGGACAAATTTTGATCCATGCTATTTTTGTGATGTAAAGATTTAGAAAAAAAATAGTCCAATTACTTCATTTTATTCTCAGCTATACACTGCAAATAGTCTTGTAGGGTCACTTGTATTACCCGAAACAGATGCATGACTGCTGATTCTATCATAAGCACATCTATCAGACCTGCATCAGTATGGATATTCACAAACAGATAAAGATCTAAAGTATTATACTGACAATTTTTATACAGGCAGTCCCCGAGTTACAAACATCCGACTTATATAAAACTCATGCTTAGGAACAGATTTGTCAGAAAACCTTTACTTTCCTTTCATAATTTCATAGAATGTTTCTATGGGACACTATACTACAAAATATTCCCACAAATGTGGGCCATTGATTGCAAACAAGATTTGTTCATTTGCACACACAAAAAAATATTTTTCCTAACATGCATTCAAGACCATGTTGCAAAAATTAACACACCCCAATGAAAGTCATAGGAGCAAAGCTAAATTTTAGACAACAAAATCCTAATTAACAAGAATTCAACTACAGGTGAGTCTAATTATTCATTAAAGAGGTGTCCAGCAGACAGCTGTTTATAAAAGGGCATCAATTAACAAAGAAAACCCCTTCCTATTTCATGCTGTCAGCAATGGCACCACATGGAAGATAAAAGGCCTGAGAAAAAAAGGTGAAGGCTACAAGAAGATCAGCAAAGCTTTACTCAGTCAGAATACTGTTGTCAGGAATGGACTTGCCAATAGTGGTGGGACTCACCTGCCTTGTGGGCTGCAGTACCAGGGCTGGCCAGTGGGTGCTCTCAACAACCAGAGGTTCACTTCAGCAATTAGCCATCACCTGGGGCTGATTGCAGGTGTATTTAAGGGATGGCCAGACCTGCAGTCTGTGCCTTGGTGTGTGTTTTTCCATGGGCCCCTGTACCTTGTAACCTGCATTCCTGTTCCTGTTCCTGTTTCTGCCTGACTTGTTGCCGACCCTGCCTGATCCTGACCTCTGCTGACTTCTCCTGTTTCGATCCCTGGCTTGTGACCCTGACCCTGCTCCTCCTGTACCTACCTGCCCGATAGTTATCGACCCGGCCTGCCTGATTACGTTGTGCTCTACATGTGTATGTACCTGTGTATCTGTATCAGTTTAGGTTTGGGTTTGTTTCACCTTGTTGTATGTATTTGTGTTAGCTTGGGGTTTGGTGCACTGCGTTTATGTTTGTATTGTTAGTCTTAATAAATTGTCTTATTTATACCATATCTGAAGCTTGCGTTTCCCTGTGTCAGTCCACACACTTCTGGTCACACCTGCATCCCTGACAACTGTGGCAAAAGTGATACAACAATTTAGCAAAGAAGGAACTGCATCCATCTCACTGAAACATCCAGGCTGTCCACAGAAGTTAACACCTCAAGAGGAGCATCTTCTAATGAGAAGGGTTGAAACAAATCACCATGCAAGTTCACTGCAGTTAGCTAAAGATGTAGAAACTGGGGTAATTGTTTCCCGTGACACAATATGGCATACACTGCAAAGGAATGGCATGCATGGGTGTCGTCCATGAAGGAAGCCTCTCCTAAAGCTCAAAAAAGCCCAACTAGAATTTGCCAGGGCCCATGCTGAAAAAGAAAACTACTGGGACTCTGTACTCTGGAGTGGTGAGACCAAGATAAATGTATGGTGCCTACAATTAAACATGGTGGTGGCAGTGTCCTTCTGTGGGGCTGCATGAGTGCTGCTGGTGTCGGGGAGCTGCATTTCATTGATGGTATCATGATTTCACAGATGTACTGCTCTATATTTCAAGAGAAGATGCTACCATCACTTTGTGCCCTTGGTCATCGTGCACTTTTCCAAAATGACAATGATCCAGAACACACAGGCCAAGTATGTTTCCTGATCTGAACCCAATTGAACACCTATTTTGAATTCTGAAGAGACAAGTTGAGCATCAATCTCCATCCAGCATCCAGGCTTTAAAAGAGGTAGTTTTTGAAGAATGGAAAAAAGATCGATGTTGCAATATCTTACCAACTTGTTCATTCCATGCCTAGAAGACTTGGTGCTGTCCTTACAAATCATGGAGGTCATACAAAATACTAGCTGTAGTAGTTTTTTGTGGGGTGTATTCATTTGTGCATCAACTCATTTGAGTAAAACTGAAGATTTTGTAAATCTAAGTTATATTATTAACCTTACTTCATGTAATGAGCTAAACAAATGTTCTATAAAACTGTTCTATAAAACTCAGTTTTTTAAAAATTTTGGAAATTTTTCTTGTGTTCATTGAGATATTGAATAAAAACTAATTTATGCTGAGCACTGTATATACTGTATAGCGCTCTGCAAACTGTTGGCGCTATATAAATCCTGTATAATATAATAGTAATACTTATGTTAGTTTTCCGTTTGTTATTATTATTATTATTAGACAGGATTTATATAGCACCAAAAGTTTGCTCAGCACTTTACAATATAACGGGAGACAATACAGCAACAATACAGATCAATAGAAGAGGGAAAGGAGGGCCCTGCTCCTTGGTTTGTTGTAAATTAACAGTCTGTTGGAATCACAGTAGATGGATATCAAAATAACTCATGGGGTGAAAGTGTATACAACCATATAGTTGCAATATTAGTCCCACAGTGTTTTTATGTTCAATGTTAACCATTTGCCACCCACCCTATGGCCGAATGGCAGCCAGCAAATGTCATCAGTGTTCTGGGTGGACGCCATATGGCATCCTCCCGCACATGCGCAGATTGCGCTCCTGCAGAGCCGCGCAGCGGCGCAATCTGTCACCGGCCGTGTACCTCGGACACGGCCGATGACAGATCTGAGTATCAGCCCACGTTGCCGGTACCATGTGACCTGCTGTGACCAATCACAGCAGGTCACATGACAGTTGTATACAATGGATGGCTTCATTCATGCCATCCATTGTATACTAGTGTCTAGCTGTGAATGGTCACAGCGATCACATGCACATGTCATGTGATTAGTTGTGGCCAAATCACAGCTAAGCACAAAAAAAAAAAAAAAAAAACCCTGAATGAATCGATGTCATTCAGGTAAATGCTTGCTTATAGCAAAGTAATTCTTTGCTAAAGGCAAATTGTGTAAAAAAAAAAAAAAAAAAATACTGATCAATGCAATTACTATGGTAACATTGTACTACTTTGGTCATAGTTAAATATGAAAAAAAAATCTTGAAAAAAAATAAAAAAAATGTAATAAAAAAATAATAAAAAAAAAATATATATATATATTTTCATACTGTCACCAGTCAGTGTCCCTGATCACCGCCATGCCAGTTATATGATGACGCTGTACTGCACT